AGCCATTCTTTCTGGAGTGAGGTAGAATCTCAGCATTGTTTTCATTTGCATCTCTCTAATGACCGGTGATGTTGAACATTTTTTCATATGTTTATTTGCCATTTCTGCTTCTTTGTGTGAGAAATGTCTGTTCATTTCAGATGCCCATTTTTGGACTGGGTCTTTAAATTTGGGAGTTCTGATTTTTTTAAGTTCTTTATAGATTTGAGATAGTAGACCTTTGTCTGAGGAACAGCTAGTGAAAATGTTTTCCCACATTGTGGGTTGTCTCTTCACACTGCTGGTGGTTTCTCTTGCTGTGCAGAAGCCTTTTAATAAGAAGAGATGCCACTTGTTGACTGTTTGTGCTAGTTCATAGGCAACTGAGGTTTTGTTCATAAAGTCTTTTCCTATACCAATGTCTTCAAGAGTTCTACCTAACCTCTGTTCCAGCCGGTTCAGTGTTTCTGTTTTTATATTTAGATCTTTAATCCATTTCGATTTTAGTTTAGTGCATGGTGAGGGATATAGGTCTAGTTTTAGTCTTTGGCAAGTTGAAACCCAATTTTTCCAGCACCATTTTTATTAAAGAGGCTATCTTTCCTCCAGTGAGGGTGGTTGGCTCCTTTGTCAAAATGAAGTAGCTGAGTGTGTCTGGAGCTGTTTCAGCATCTTCTAATCTGTTCCACTGGTCCTCAGGTCTATTTCTTTGCCAGTACCATGCTATTTTTATCACTGTAGCTTTGTAGTATAGTTTCAAGTTGGAGGTTGTAATACCCCCTGCCATGTCTCTGTTACCTAGAATTGCTTTTGCTATTCTGGGTCTCTTCTCTTCTTGTTCCAAATGAATTTTTGGAATGTTTTCTCAAGGTCCACGAAGTATGCTGCTAGGATTTCAATTGGGATTGCATTGAATCTATATAGCAATTTTGGAAGTATGACCATTTTCGCTATGTTGATCCTTTCTACCCAGGAGCAAGGGATGTCTTTCCATTTTTTGATATCCTCTTCAATCTCTTTTTTCAAAGTGCTATAATTTTCAGAGAAGAGATCTTTGATTTCTTTTTTAAGTTGATTCCTAGGTATTTCAGTTTTTTGAATGTTATTGTGAAAGGAATTGTTTGCCCTATTCTCAGTGAGTCTGTTGTTCATGTAACAGAAAGCTATTGATTTTTATGTGTTGACCTTGTATCCTGCTAGTTTACTGAATTTAGTTATTAAGTCAAGAAGACTTTTGGTGGAGTTCTTGGGGTCTTCTATATAGAGTATCATGTCATCTGCAAATAATGACAGTTTGACTTCTTCATTTCCTATCGTTATTCC